CATTTAGCACTGGCGTACGTCATTCGAAAGCTGCTGCGTTGGTGCTCGGGCGGAGAGCATAACATCGGCTTTCAGCACAACTCCGCGAGTAGGGCGAGGGTTTGGATGCGTTAAAGACGGGGAGTTGCTCACAACTGGATATCAAATTGTTGGGTGAATTACTTGATTTCAGGGGTCTGATGGAGTTATTGTTTGCTGGGACAAAGAATCGAGACAAAAGTGTGTCTTGCCACCGTTAACCCAACGTTCTTAGCAACCGCAACTCGCAGATAGTTAAGTGCCTTTCTCTGCACTACGTCCTCCATGTTGCATTTTTCGCATAGTTATGGGTGACAGTCTCGTTCTGACTTATTGTGGGTGCCAGACTGAAGACCTTCGAACCTGCGGGTGCACCAATTGCTGATTTGAAGTATGACCCAACATCCACAGCGTTGGCATACGCAGTATCCTATGATTGGAACAAGGCAAGTCCCGCGAAATCTTTATTTGAAAGACACCGCTGCGCTCCTACAAGCCCTCCTGTCCTATAGTCCGTGTAGCGGAGTAGACTGCATCATCGGCGCAGCTTGTTGCATTGTGTGTTTGTTTCCAGGGCCCAGACCAGCAGGAGCTGGCCAAGGGGCACCACATTTATATTCATGCGGTGAGGATTCGCACTTGCTTTGTTTTGCCATTTTACCCTACCCAAACATTGAAACACATCTTACGCATTGCCTGCTCAGCGCGCAGCAGGGCAGCCCTCAGCATGTGCGCTTTTTGCGTTCGTAGATGAAGGAGGAAGATATCCGCCCTCGGCCAAAGAATACCCAGCGCCGCTGAACTACGGATTTTGTGGCTTGCCGCCTCCTCTCTGGGTTCGAGCGCTCGTCCAGGCTAATGAGCCGTCTTTAGTATTTAGTGCAGCCAAGTGGACCTCTAACCAACACATGAGCTGATTGACATCCTGCATGAAAGCATGCGGGAAGCCTTTGTAGCTTGGGTTTCTGGCTTTACACATAACAGAACAGTTTGCACTGGTGTCCGTTCGTGGTGCGGATACTAAGTGATGGACGAGCTAGTGAACCTTGTCTTTGTCACAGTTTAATAGCAACGAATTTTCTTTTTGTCACGTTTAAATAAACACAATGAGGGAGAACTAGGATGTCTACTGTGTGCTGCTGGCATGTACGCTTAGACGGTGTAGCGCCTGCTCCCTTGAACCCTTCGATCGTTCCCACGGAATCAGCATAATGCCTAGAGTTGGTATATTGGTATAAATTGTTGCAATTTGGCCGGCAGCAGAGGCTGTCGCAAATTGTGGCTTCGGCATCCGGGCTGCAACAACTGTGCGTATGACTACGCCAACACGACGCTGAATTTCATACCCCAATTGGTTACGCCTTCATTGGGGCTCGAACCAGCAGGGTGTAACGGTGTTACACTTCCTTGCGCAACACCAACTGGATGCTCGGTGCTTGCCACTCACCTACACCCAGGGACCAAGATTCTAACTAGAAGAAGAAGCTTTGAATTGTTGCGAACTTGAGCATTGTATGTTGCATTGGAGAATAGCAGTGCAAGCTGCCGCACCTCTTGATTGACAAACTGTCCTGAATAGCTGTCTTTCTGCTCGTGTTGATACAAACGAAGACCATAGCTCCCAAAACTGTCAAATGTAATACACTGCGCTGTTCAATGCTCCACAGACAGCCCAGCATCGCTCCCTCGACTGGGACTTGCGAGAAACGTAGCAAAGTTGCCATTCCGTCTACCCTCATCGAGACTCACACACGCGTGCACGAATATACGGCATCGCGTAAGCGCGCAGAGGGTATTAGTTTGCCAGGATGATGCTTTACTTGCGTTGTACTTAAAGTGGTTATACACTGCAGACGATCTAATTAACGGGGAGAAGATGAGCAACGGTACCAGCCTGTTGGGCAGACTCGTGCACATTGAGGCCGGTTGGATATGGAATTTCCCGCTGGTGACCTAATTTAACCTTTGCTATTCTTTTGGTTTTTAGTACAAACTTTAATAAATTTGGTTCTGCGCAAAGTCCATTGTAGTATTGTGCTGCAGTCGAACAACCACCGATGGGCACTACGAGCTCTGTGCTCTCTGCTCAGGCAGCGAACAGTCCCTGGGATCCTCCAGAACACGTTCTGTTCTTGATGGCGCCTTGAAATGCAATTCGTTCGTCCACTCACAAATTCTTTATTTCCTGCATATGTCAGGTGTTTATTTGCAGGCGTTGTTACGACGCAGTGGTGTCGATGTCTGTCTGGTTACTGAAGACGCATGCAGATGAAATTCGCCGACTCTGCAGTGTGCAGGGGCTGAACCTGCTCAGGAAAGTACCGAAAACGAAATCCATCTGTACCTTCTCTTGGGGGAAAGGAAAATCGTTGGATCAACGGATTCAAGTTGGTGATCTGGCAGCTCACGCCGAGGCAAGGGCCCTTCCCTCTTCATTGCGCAACGCTCGAAAGATTTGCTGGGCCAACAGTGCTGAGTTATCCGTAAACCCAAACAGAGAACCTCAACATTGCGTGTCTTTCCTTTATGAACGTTTCC